GGAGTCAGATAAATGCTATCTTGTTGTAGCATGCTTTTGAATTGACCCATGCTTCAGTTAGGACTTTTATGGGTTGTAACGTGGCCTAGTTCATGGTTTTAGAAAAAAGATTTATGGCTCAAAATTATTTGGTGCCCACCCATTCTCCATGATGTTCTCCATTCCTATGTTCAGTTGACCTGACACAAGCGTTCATCTCTCGAGAAGAGTTTGCGATGATTGAGGAACCACTGTGGTTTCTTGGACACGACAGTCACTAACTTCTAATTTTGGTGTCTGATCACACGACTTTGTTCTTTGATGAGGATTTTCGTTGGTAATCCATTTCTCGCCTTTTAGGCTTTTTAATTTCTTTCTTGTTTTCCCTAATTTTTGCCTGGACAAATTCTTTTGAATTTTGATTTGGAAGTCGAGCGGGATGCCCCAATTTTTGCCTAAGCGACTTGTTTTCAAGTTTCGACTTAGCGAGGATTTTTGTTTTTTTTTTGTTATTTGTATTTTCCATTTTGAACAAGTCGTTGATATTTGCGTTGTCTTTGATTTGTCAGAAGTGATCGTGATTGTCCGAGTCTTTAGTAGATGATGAATAGCCCTTATAGTACTGTCATTTGTTGACCTTTTGACGTGCGAGGGATACTCATTGGGGTATCGTTAGTTGATGCACGTTGCTGATAGATGAAGGTTAACCTTTGTGGTTTTGAATCTCCTTGACCTTTTGATGGACAACCATTGTTGTATCCTTGGATGCACACTCTTGATGAGTTCTGAATGCTTGATCAGATTAGCTGAACACTACCCGCCCCAGGGTTGAAATGAGGTTTTTTTTTCTGAACATAAAGAAAACTCCTACTTCGAAGGATCAGAGGGGTTCACGAGGGTCTATCTTCCTTATATCTCCGGTGTTTAGGGATTAAAATAAGGCTTGTACATCGTCAGCAGGGTCTTACTCAAAAGCGCATCAACTAGAGATTTTTCGTTTTCAGGTTGTCGTCATCCACCTTCCAATTTTTACCTAAGCATAAGACTAGGAAATTTGGCGTCAATATGAAAGTAAAATATTTAAAGAGTGATAACAAATGGATGAGTAAAAATGAAATGAGCACTTCAAGACAAGCATACTTATTGCATTAAGATTTTCGTTCAAAAATAGACAAGTTTCTATATACAAGCAATGTTTAAACAAACAAGCAAGAATGCAAATAAAAATGCAGTAAAGAAGCCAATGATTGCCATTGTTGAGGAGACTTGACTCCGTATGGACTTGCTGATTCTGATGACTTTCTGTAGTCTTGAAGCTCGAGTGGCCGATAAAATTCCCGTTTGATATGATATGAGCATGACAGTTTCTGAATTGATCCAGTCTTGGACTTGGTCTCTGGATGACATACCAACTTCAATCGATTGGCCAGGTGCCCCAGTATAATATGCATATAAGGTTCTTTCAGGAGAAGGAATGAATGATTTACCTAACGAATCAGTATGACTGTATCATCAAGTATATCATGTCTTAAAGAAATAGTAGGCATCATCATCAAAGTTTCCACCACCTGGATTATCTGAGTATTTAATCCATTATCTTCCTGCTTGAAGAGATTTCTGACCATGGGTCAAAGCTTGCCTATACCACTCGGAGTTATTCCATAACTGATCTCTGAGCATGTGCGGTGAGAAATCAAGTTGATCATTTGAATATAACCCCAAGTCTGAATAAGAATCCCCAATCTTCGGGTACCTGTTATGAATGCATAAATATGCATGGGGTGCATGAATGAATGTCATGTCATGTTCTTCCATTTCCGAGGAATTTGCGCGCTTTGATTTTGATTTTGCGCAAGGGATGGAAGAGTTTAGCACAAGACTTGCAAATATGATTCCTTGGAAATAATAGAACATGTATGTTAAGCATGTGGTTAGCCATGTTATGTATGCAAAGGAATGAGATCAAAGAGGATCAAGGTTCCATCATTCCTGAATATGATTGCTGCACTGTTCTAAACCATGTGAGTATCATCAGATCAAAGGTAAGATATAGCTTCTGCATATATAAGAACCAAGTACCATGTGGATCTCCCATTGTACAGGGTCAAGGCTTCTGGAATATCGGATATTGTTGAGCATTTCTGAACATGTTGGGAATACCAAGATTGAAGGCTTGAATGAACCTCCAAGTAAACAAGTCAGAAACTCAGAAAATAAATATGAGAACCATACGGTCATCAACAGAGTATAGCACCTGCATAAAGTCATAACAGAAATCCAGAACATAGCCATTAGAACCAATAGTCACTGTCTGAGCATAGTCACCATCTGAATATGAATAACCATCTGAATATAGTCACCATCTGTACCTGTGATAGAAATTCCCTCCCCACTCACGGGTGAAAACTAGGTCAAGGTAAGACAATGGTGACTCGAAAATCATGGGTCCTCCTGAAAGTGCTATGGGCTTACCCACATACGTAGGTGCCGATAGTAATTCATTTGAACCTCATCCGAGCGTGGTATATGACATGACTATGCTAATCAGACCACGTCCTATAGCCGTCATGCCCCCACTCTATTCCTAGGTGTTCTAGTGCACTCTGGCCTGGGTATTGGGCCTTTTACCTCAATAGTAGCATCCCAACCCAAACAAGAAGCAAATCCAGTACAACAGTAGTATATGGAAGACAGTAAAATGCAATGCATACATATGCTAAAGTATATATAAAATGAATGAATAAACTGAATGAATAAACTGAAAGCGTAAAGATAAACACCCAAAGAAAAGAAAGCAAGAGCTAGGAGCGACTCCGAGACGGACCAGCATTTGGTCGACCTATCCCTAGTGAAGTCGCCAGCTGAAACAACCGGCTGAAAATCATCAAAACAATGAAGTCTCCATCAAACATCTTTTATCCCACATGTAGGGAAAGGTAAACATCGAGAAAACCTGAAAAGGGAGAAGTCACGGTCTTGCGACCGAGAGATCGGGTAAGGGAGTCTGTTATACGAGGGGAAGGTATTAGCACCCCACACGCCCGTAGTACTCTACGGTATCCACTCTTGTTATCTATCTTATGGGTGTGTCTAATATATGCTTACTGTTTATTATTGCTAAGGGGGGAGAATGCATGCAAAAGAAATGGGAAAAAATGTAGGGAAAATAAAATTGTGCTCGCTTGGGCCCTACCCCAATGCCTACGTATCCTTTTTGAGGAATCAGAGCTGCCGTAGTTTGGCTCATATGTTTTTGTTTGTTTGTGTTTTTTGTGGACAAAGTTAATTCTGCCTTCTGCCGCAGCTCGACCTTTGGAGACTTATGCGTTGGCACACAAGTAAATTAATCGTGTCCTTACCTGAAAAGGGTTTCTTAAAGAAAGGTGCTCGAGCATACAAATGGTTTGAGTTGGTTTGTATTTTGTTGCAGATAATGACTAGTTGACCTCAAGAGAGAGATATTAGTCGCTTTTCTACTTAGCCATGAAAGGAGTCTTTGAGAATTAAACCACTCCTAAAACTTGAGATGAAGAACAATAAGATCGAGAAGAGACCCGCTTATCATTTCCCATACTAAGCAAAATCATGATTCTCATCAGTAGTTTTTTTAAAGTGTCTTGAATTTTGAAAAGAAAAAGAAGTTTTAGTTTTAGATGCGTATGCAAAAGGGAAAAAAAGGGGGGGACTAGCCTATTTCTAAACCTAATGTTATTGTGCATTAATAGACCTGAAGTTAGAATTTTTGGGGAATTCTACCTAACGTTAGCATGCATATGGTTTGTGATAAAGCCCTGTTTCTCATGATTTCTATAAAGTGAAAACGAAATGCAATAAAATAAAGAGAAGTGCAAGAGTAGTAGCGGAGGCTACCAAAGTGAGCAAGTCATCAAGAGCAAACAAAAGTACTAAAAAAGCAGGGAGTACGTGTCGAGCAAGCTTCACCAAGAAACAAACAGAGTCAGAAGCAATATCCAACTAAGATAAAGGCAAACGCGTGTCGCGTATGTGGCGCATAATCAGGAATTCCTCGCACAATGAACAAACACGTCAAAAATAATATGGCAAAGTGTCATGAAAATACGGATAATGACTAAAAATGAAGTGTTTTTATTAGTTTTTTATATAAGGAAAATTCTATCAAAAAGCTAAAGAATTAAATCCTAAAATCAATTAAAGGGGTCTAACAAATTTTATTTATTACAAAATTTTGTCGAGAGAAAAATTAGAGGGAAAAATTAGAAAGAAAATAGGAAAAGAAAGAAAAATAGGAGGGGTATGAAGTCAGAACTGGGTATTGCATGGTAAGCAACTGCATAGCCCAATCATGAGTGAAGTCCAATAGCGATTTTTTTGCAAATAAAAGACCACCAGAAAAAAAGTGATGGGCCTAGCCGGGGAGCAAATTGGCCCAGCCTCAAATGGACTAACAACCCAGTCCAACTTTGTTTGTTTATTGGATTCAGTTTTTTTCTTCATTGCTATGCTATTTAAAAAATAATAAGTAAAAAATTAAAAATAATAAAATTAAAAAAGGCATGAAAATAAAAAGGGATTAGGGTTGGGCGACTGCTTCGTTCTTCTTCTTCTACAAACGATTTTGCCACCACCGACATAACTGAACACGTTTCACTCTCGCTTCCTCTTTGTTTTGTTCATCGTTTGGAACTTCTCCTTAATCGCGGATCAGTCTTCTCGTTCTTTCATTGACAGCACCGCAGCTGCTTATTCTTCGATCAACATCATCAAAACACCGTCGCCGTCTCATACTCTTCGTCTTAACCTCAATCGTTTCACTCAAATTTATCCTCTAAACCACTACCTCGAACCAACGTTTAAATCAGCCCAAGAGCTTCAATCAAAGAAGAAATTGAAACAACCGATCCACACATCTAGTTACGGTATTGAATGATTGAAGACTAATTTACACGAAATAAAACTCGTCTAGCAAGAATCAGTGAAAGGAAGCGTCAATCGGAAAATTCAAAGAGCTTACCGATTGAAGATCGTCCGGCGCGTCTTCGATGGTGTCGAAATCAAGCAGAGACCCAGATATTTTAGCCAATATTCAAGGTAATTATGCTTCTAATCTTGTACGTTTCTCTTTCTACTTCTTCTTCATTCGCTTTTCCTACGCTTTGTTTTTATAAATTGGTGTTATTGCTTGCGATGCATTGTTGATGATGAAGATGCGTGTTTTTTGAAGCAGTTGCAATAAAGCTACAGCTTGAGGAATAAAGGTGACTGCAGGACTTGATGAGGATTCGATGAAGATGAAGATTCAGTTGCGTTTGTGGCATGAATTAATCGATGAGGACGATGATTTATTGATGGAAAGTTTTTGCAGAAGCTTGAAGATGTATGAAGATTGATGTTACAGATACAAAGGGAATGAAGATGAAGTTATGGCGAAAGAGTAGAGAGAGATATTTGGAGAATCTTTGAAGATGAATGGTTGATACACAGAGATGAAACAGAGAGAGAGGAAAATTTTTTTTTGCAGAATGGTGATTATTCCAAATGTGAAGAATGAATGAATCAAGGTGAGAATCCGTTTTTTATACCCTGTAGTTATGTGGAAGTTGGTTGCCAATATGCTTATGAGTTAGTTTTATGTTAGGGACTGTTTTTGACAGTTGAGGTTTAAAAATCTGTTAGAAGGTTAGGAGGTTTGTTAGTTATTCTGTTATAAACTGTTAGCACACAGCTAGAACCTTTGAATCTGTTAGCTGTTAGTTTGAAAGTTAGTTAGGATTGAAACAAATCTAAGTCCTTGATTTTAGTAGTTAGTTAGAAGAATCGATGGTTAGGATGAAAGATCTGAATATGCCAATAACTGTCATGAATTCTATTAGAAGCTGCTGAGCTGGGATTTTAACAGGGGCCTTTATTCTGTGTTTAATTCTGAACATTTGTTGGTTTTTCAATTGATGTGGCGAAATGGTTTGTTGTTTTAGAGATTCGGTTTTCCTGTAGTGAACTGATTTTCATGATCGGTTTTATATGCTCTATGGAGTCACTTTTTTGTCGAATGTCGGGCTGTGGTTTATGAACGAAATATGTTTGGATTTTTTTTTAAATTTGTTTGATATTGGTTTGACGTTGCAAGTTTGTGTACTAGCGATAGTGTAATCAGTTCATGCTTATGACAGTTTATTCAATATTTTTGCAGGTTTGGTTTATATCAGGGCTATTGGGAAGTAAAGGTAAACGGAAAGCACCAAGTGAGGATTTGAATGACTTTAGAGATGATATGAAGTTGGAACAAAGACGTATAACACGAAGTTTTGGAAGCTTGAAGTTTGGGTTAAAGGTTGAAGCATGAAGAATGATTGAAAATTAGGATAGGTTTTGGTAAAAATGTATAGATGTTGTGTATAATTGTAATGGAGTTTGGACTTGTATGTATTTGAATACATAGTGGAATGTATGTTGACTTTATTTCCACATAATGAAATGGCTTTTGTATGAATTCAAATAATCATGGTATGAATCCAAAATATTTGCAAGGTAATCAAAAGAGACGTGAATCTTGAATGAATCCATGAGAGGCTATTTGGATGACACTTTGACTGTTGGATGAAACAAGTGAGTTTGATACATGCCTTTTTATTCTAAGAAATCCCACACAAATATTTAAGAACTTTTATTCACCCCAAATCCTCTTCACATCTTAATGAACGAGTTCCAATCAAATTACAACTTTAATGAATCCCTAATTCAATTCACTTCCTCAATATAAACCAAACTTGTATGTCAAGCAACAAGTATTTGAAATAATGACACCTTGATTACAATCCACATCTTGTACCATGTCCCGACTATATGAGCACTAGAATAACGACGTCTTGGACCCCTGAAGAAGATATTCAAGATGACTTTGAACTTAGACCTTAGTTCACATAGTCTTTACTTAAACCTTTAGTGAAACCCTAGTGATGCTGCCCTTGATGAGGATGACAGCCTTATAGCTTGATGGGGGAGAAGTTCACAATAATTAAGAATCCAAACCCTAGTTCAATAAACCACATTTATTGGGAAACCCACTGATTCAAGCCTGAGTGAAGATGAGAACCATCAAAGCCATAAAAACCTTAATTTCGTCATATCATTGATTCCATGCCAAATTATGTTGTTAGAGAATGTATGCAATGTTAAATGACCTAATGGAGATATGTACATGAGAAAAGCGCGACAATGCATAAACCAGATAAAAGTAGAAAGGTAGGACAAATTTGGGGTATTACAGCTGAACGAAGCAAAAAGCTGGGTAAGGCACCGTGATATGCAAGAAATGTGCGCAATATGATGCATGAAGTGCAATGCACATGATTATTTTTACTTTATTATTTAATATTTCAAGGGATTTAACATTTATAGACATATTGCAAACATCAAAGTAATAAAGCTTTTTGAAATACTGAATTTTTTTATATTTTAATAACTTCAAAATGGGTTACAAGTTTCAATGATCCCAAGTACAAGATGAAAATATAATCTAAAAATCCTGAGAAAAAGAACAGATAGAGATCAATCTGTACGCTGGCGCTTCCCTGTGAGGCTGGTAATCTGAGCCCTCAACCTCTGGTTTTCTTCCACATGTCTGACGGCAACCTCCTTCCAATTATCCGAAGTAGGAATTGAGTAATCAGCACCTGTTTGAGGCTTAGGAGAAAATAAATCCCCTTGCCTCCCCATAGACTCTACTGCTCGACTCTCAAGGATCTCGATTAAATCATCTTTCTCCTTCAGGTCTGCTCTGTAGGAACTCTCTAAAGTCTGGAACTTGTTCTTCCAAGCATCCCTTTCCTGTTGCATCCTAACCAAAGCAAGCTGCAACTCTTCTAGATCATCTAATAAGCAGGAGTGGTCTTCACAAATAGATCAGGCATGGGTGTCTCTCGAGTATACGACATCTTCAACTGAATGGCTCTCAATCAGACCCACTGAAGATATGGCTCCAAAGAAACAGCACCCCTAGGTCCCAAATCCTTCCTACTCTTCTTATGAATGTGGCGCCAGGCCTTCACAATCTTCTCCCTAGCTTCCCTGTGGTGTTCTCCTTCCTTCAGAAAGAAACTACTCAAATGAATATTGTTTGGTTTATCCCTCATTGGATAACCAAGCTGTCGTCGTGCAAGAACATGGTTATAATTAATTCCCCCCTTTGTACCAAGAAGAGGTACATTGGGAAAACTACCACAATTGTTAATAATCTCCACATCCTGATAAGCTCGATGATACCAATCAATATCCGAGTGAGTAAGTGCCATGATCTTAGGAGCCCAACGTGGCTCCTTCTTGACATCCCAAAAAGTATCAACCTGAGGCATATGAGAGATGAACCATCGGTACAAAAAAGGCGTGCAACAGATAATCATTCCCCCATGATAGGAGCTCTGAAGATGAACAGAGTAATAAGCATCACCCAATAGTGTAGGAACTAGGTTTCCAATCATGAAGATCCTGATAGCGTTAATGTAGACGAACTTGTACACATTAGGAAATAAGAACAATCCATAAGCAAGCAGAGCAAAAATGGCCTCAAAAGCAACCATACTCTTTATTCTAGAAAAGTAACGAGCTTTCTCCAATAAGAACTGAGTTGGTAATCCTTTAATCCCTCCTTTAGTAGTCATCTGGGCTTCCACTTCAGACTTCCCCAGATAAAAGGAACACGATCGATAATGGGTAAATCCAATATATAAGAATACTCCTCCAGTGTGGGCATCAATTGATAATTGGGAAAAGTAAAGCAGTGATACATCAGATCATAGAACTTGACCAAAGTAGAGAGAATACCCTCCTTCATCTTCAGCTTCATGAGAGGAATAATGGATCTGAACTTCTTCCGAAAGTCTGCAGAACACTCGATCTCTGGAATTAGGCTGACCAACTCATCTATCTTGGGATCCTAGAAACTGTATTTCCCGGTCTTTCTCTTTCTAGAATCCATGGTTAAAAGCACCTGAGATATTCACAAATAGTCAACCTTTAAATCCCTTAAAATATTATTTTCTTCAAAAGATGCGTATGAGTGCATGGATGCATGATGCAACAATCACACACAAGATCACACATATAGGGTTCATAGGTTTAACGTCATGAGCATGAGGTCGAAGGTACTACCCATAAGGTGTTGGTCTAAAAAGTTATCACCTGCCGAACAAGGTTCTAGAGGTTCCCAGAGTCTACATCCTTCCTTCAGATATTACCAACTTCCCGATTAACTTGGTAATTAGTAATATTCTCAAGAAAGACTCGTCCGAGCGTAGTATCGCGTGACAACTATTTCCGGATTACTCCGTCATTGCTTCCGCACTACACCTAAAAGGCCAAGATGGGTTTGGTATTCTATGATCCTCAGTTTCAGCAGGCTGCCAGGTCGAAAGCAGTACGTCTTCCCGATTACTCGGTAAACGACACTACATTCAAAGGGGCCTCCACTGAGTGGGGGATCTCATGCCTCCTTTTTTGGGAGTACTCCCTCAAAGTTAACATGACTATACCGCCCGTCCTATCTTAAAGTTTGCCCAAGTCCAGGTATAGGACTTATGAGTAATCACCAAGCACCCTGAAAACCAGGAAAATCCAAACAAACATATATACAAAATATAACACATAAACAACAATAGCACATATACAGATATAAACAAAGATAGGCTTAACCCACTCAGGGATGGACCAGCAAGAGGTCAATCCATCCCCAGTGAAGTCGCCATTTTTCTGTAGCGGTAGAAATGTTCAAGACTAAGCCATTGGATTGACTAGACTTTATACAAATCAAAAATAAAAATCACCACCGCGCTTTATTGTTTCCAAAGGAATGGGAAAAGATCGAATAACCCAAAAAAAGGGGGAAAGATTCAAGGTAAGGGGGTTGGTTATGCAAAGGGAAGGTATTAGCACCCTAAACATCTACGATACTCCGCAAGAACCTCTTTGTAAAATTTTTATATTTTGGCTATAAAAATGTGTTGTATATAAAATGGATGGTGGAGGTGAGAAGAGAAATATATTTTTTTATGATTTTTGCACCCGCCGCGGTTGCGAACCTTTAGTGCCTACGTACCACCTTTCATGCAATAGGGGATCAGGGTACACGTAGTTCCTCTTTTAAAAACTTGAAACGCAAATGTGTTGGTTAATTTTATGAGATAAAACATCATTGTCATTGTCCGTGTGAAAAACATACTTACTACCCACAATCATGAGAAAGGAGAATTTGCATAATCTCAAAGTGGAGGATATGGCTTGGATTTTAAAATCAACAATGCCTCACTAAACACCCAAGTTGAAAATATCTCTCTTCACTACATATTATAGAAGTATAGTTGTTTGAATCAATACAAGGATTGACAAGAGTCTAATATTTTAAGAAAAGTTTAAAGGTAAAAGCCAAAGTGGCAAAATGGTTTGAAATGAGATTGGTTGACTTTTAGTCTTCTCACAAAAATGTCAAGGTATTATTAAATAGATTGAAGTTTATTTATGAAAATATTTTGGAAATGCATGGACCTAAGTCCAAGTTTATTATGAAAGTGGTTTAAGTTTCAAAACAAGAAGAGTTTTCAAAAGGAGGGAGGAAGTTTTTGAAATTAAAGAAGATGGGAGGAGAAGAAGAGACTATCCTAAAGCATAAGATAAAATCTAAGGATAAGAACCATCTAACGAACAAGAAGCCAATACTTGGAATTATGAGCCAAGATAGAATTCCCATTCTTTGGATTGAAACCAAGCAAGCAAAGATACTAGACCTCTTCAAATGCATTAAGTCTTCACAAAAATTAGGCAGAGTAACGACTATATACAGGTGAAGTCCAAATTACAAATAAAGGAGGTAATCACAAAAACCTGCACACAAAAACAAAGAAGCAACCCAATGTCTTGAGGTAAATCTCAAAAGCTCCAGACAAAATAATCAGATAAGATCATAAGATCTCAAAGATAGGCCAAGGTTTCTAATCCTAAGTCCAAGAAAAAGTCCACTGCTCCATAATCCCAAGGATAGTAACCAAATAGTCCAAGCACCATTATGAGTTTTTTAGGGTTTAAGTTGATTATTAAGTATCTTAAGAAAAGAAAAAGAAAAGCTCAAGTGAGCAACATAAAAAAGGACAAGAAAATAAATGCTCAAATGAGCAAAGATGAAAATGGCATGAAATGTAAATGCTAAAAATAAATAGTGCATAAAGCATAAAAAAGAATAAAAGCATAAGATAAAGCAAGTCAATAATTAGTGGTTAGTTGGATGACCATCTTGAAACTTGCATTTGGAACTCATTAGAGGATTGGTAGAACCAAAGGCTCTACATAATAAGTTGC